ACGGGCAGAGGTCTGCAGAGCACACGCTGAAGGAGGCCTGACATCCGCTTTAAGGACACTGACTGCTATTAGCTTACACTGAAAAACTTTTTTTCTTTGTAAAAACACGCTATAGAGACACCAGATATGAGTGGCAAAGTACACGGGCAGAGGTCTGCAGAGCACACGCTGTAGGAGGCCTGACACCCGCTTTAAGGACACTGACTGCTATTAGCTTACACTGAAAAACTTTTTTTCTTTGTAAAAGCACGTTATAGAGACACCAGATATGAGTGGCAAAGTACACGGGCAAAGGTCTGCAGAGCACACGCTGAAGGAGGCCTGACACCGGCTTTAAGGACACTGACTGCTATTAGCTTACACTGAAAAACTTTTTTTTTTTCTTTGTAAAACGCTATAGAGACACCAGATATGAGTGGCAAAGTACGCGAGGGCAAAAGGTCTGCAGAGCACCTGCGGCGAAGGGCTGACTTTTCGCTTTAAGGACACTGACTGCTATTAGCTTACGCACAGCTTTTTCTTTGTAAGGCAGCCTATAGAACTGGAATATGAGTGGCAAAGTACACGGGCAAAGGTCTGCAGAGCACACGCTGAAGGAGGCCTGACACCTGCTTTAAGGACACTGACTGCTATTAGCTTACACTGAAAACTTTTTTTCTTTGTAAAATCACGCTATAGAGACACCAGATATGAGTGGCAAAGTACACGGGCAGAGGTCTGCAGAGCACACACTGAAGGAGGCCTGACACCCGCTTTAAGGACACTGACTGCTATTAGCTTACACTGAAAAACTTTTTTTCTTTGTAAAAGCACGCTATAGAGACACCAGATATGAGTGGCAAAGTACACGGGCAGAGGTCTGCAGAGCACACGCTGAAGGAGGCCTGACACCCAGACGCTTGCAGACAACTAACTGCTATTCAATCTATTACAGTGAAAAAAAAATGTTTTCTTTTAAATTGTCAAGCTTAAGCTATTGTGACACCAGATATGAGTCGTGGCACTGGGCAAATGGGAACAGTATCCACTGTGAGCCTGACACACCCGCTTTAAGGACACTGACTGCTATTCAATCTATAACAGTGAAAAAGGTTTTTTGTTTTTAAATGCAAGCTATTGTGACACCAGATATGAGTGGTGGCACTGACTGGGCAAATGGGCACAGTATCCACTGTGAGCCTGACACAGAAGCTGGCAGCGGTGGCAGACAACTAACTGCTATTCAATCTATAACAGTGAAAAAAGTTTTTTGTTTTTAAATGCAAGCTATTGTGACACCAGATATGAGTGAGTGGTGGCACTGGGCACAGTATCCACTGTGAGCCTGGCCACTACTTAAAGGGACTTTTTGTTTCTGCTATTCAATCTATAACAGTGAAAAAAGTTTTTTGTTTTTAAATCCAAGCTATTGTGACACCAGATGTAATTGGTGGCACTGACTGGGGAAATGGGCACAGTATGCACTGTGAGCCTGACACAGAAGCTGGCAGCAGTGGCAGACAACTGACTGCTATTCAATCTATAACAGTGAAAAAGTTTTTTGTTTTTAAATCCAAGCTATTGTGACACCAGATGTAATTGGTGGCACTGACTGGGCACTGTGAGCCTGACACAGAAGCTGGCAACGGCGGAACAACTAACTGCAATTACATTACACAGAAAAAAAGCAGACTGATGTTCTAGCCCAAAAAAGGGCTTTTTGGGGTGCTGTCCTTACAGCAGAGATCAGATGAGTCCTTCAGGACTGTAGTGGACACTGTATACCCTAACCTAGCTATGCATTTCCCTATCTAATCAACAGCAGCTACACATTCCCTCCTCTCACTAAGCATGCAGCTTGAGAATGAATCTAAAATGGATGCTGTCCACTAGGTGGGAGGGTCTGCTAGGGAGGGTGTGCTGCTAATTGGCTGGAATGTGTCTGCTGACTGTGAGGTACAGGGTCAAAGTTCACTCAATGATGACGAATATGGGGCGGATCGAACCGCGCTTGTGTTCGCCGTCCGCGGCGGACGCGAACACACTATGTTCGCCGGGAACCATTCGGTGCATCACTACACTGGACCACCAGGGATGGCAGCAGGAACAAGAAAACATAAGGTAAGAAGGGAGGAGGGAAATTAAGTAATGTTCCCCCCACATCCACCCCCCCACCATTACCCACACACACCCACACACACAGCACCTTCACACACATACATCAATATCATTACACTCGTCTGACCTGAACCGAATAGAGAATCTATGGGGCATTGCGAAGAGAAAGATGAGAGACATGAGACCGAACAATGCAGAAGAGATGAAGGCCTCTATTGAAGCATCCTGGTCTTCCATAACACCTCAGCAGTGCCACAGGCTGAGAGCTTCCATGCCACGCCGCATTGAGGCAGTAATTGCTGCAAAAGGGGCCCAAACCAAGTACCGAGTCCATATGCATGCTTATACTTTTCAGAGGTCCGATATTGTTCTATGTACACTCCTTGTTTTATTGCTTGCATGTAATATTCTAATTTACTGAGATTGTGGATTTGGGGTTTTCATGAGCTGTAAGCCATAATCATCGCACTTATGACAAATCACTGCTTGAATTATCTTGCTTTGCATGTAATGCGTCTATCTCATATATTAGTTTCCCCTTTTACGTTGCATTACTTAAATAGATTAACTTTTGCACGATATTCTAATTTTTCGAGTATCACCTGTACAATCATACACATATACACATACACACACATACAAACACTCATACACATACACACACATACACACACCCATACTCACACTTACTTACACTAATACACACACTCAAATTCTTTTTTTGTAATATCTCCAGCCACCCTCCTGTTAGCTTACCTTGTGTGTCCAGGAGGGTGGCTTGAACTCCTGGTCCTGCTGGGGGGAGTGAGGGGTGTGGAGCTCTTCGTGCTCCTCTCCCCTCATGCTGTGTCTGCCTCCTCTCCATCCCGCGCTGTCTCCCTGCATGATGCTGGGTCATAGCCTATAGCCTCCCTTGGTAACTGTCTTTCTTCAAACCTATCTATTACTCTCTCAATTTTACTAGTGGGTTCACACTCCACTTCACTCTCACCTTCCAATTCTGCTAATTTCCCACTCTGGCACTTGGTTGCCATCCCCTCATTGTGGTTTTTAAAACCCACCTCCTCTAGATTGTAAGGTCGTTCCTGCATGGTCCTCATCAACCTATTGTTTCTGTCAAAATGTATCAACTGTATCATTGTTGTTAAAGCCCCCCATTTATAATAAGTTAGCTCCATATAAATGCAAACAAATAATAAAGAATAAAACAACTGAAGAATAAAACGCTTTCTAGAAAGATAGGCTCATGATTGGTGGAACATCTTCCTGGTCTAGGAGGGGCCTGCTTGGTGCTTCTGTTTGAACTGTTCTTGCAGAATCAGCAGGACTGTGATTGTGGGTATTTGTTTTATATAGTTAATTTATTACCTATATAATGCACTTAAAAAGGGGATTGCTTCCCATATCCTTTTAATTAACTTGTTTTGGATAGTTATTTTAAAAATATGAGAAACATACCATATGAAACAATTGTTCCTTTTTGGTTAAAATATAATTCCAACTTCTAGAAGTAAACACATTATAGTTTTTCAGATTAAATGATAGCTGAATATTTAAACTGTTCATATGTAAACATTTAAATACATTCACCCCATTCACAGTATTTTACAGAAGTAGCAAAAATCCAAGCAATCTCACATCATCTGAATTGAAAGCTCCATCCGCTGAGAGGATTAAACCAATGATATTGAAGACTGGTTTCAGAAATGCCATCTGGAATGCGCCCAAAATTAAAAGATTCAACTTCTTCCTGCAAAGCAAATAGTGAATGTTTACAGAATTGCAAAAAAATCATCCAATGTATCAAATTTAAATACGTTCGTCTTGACAGTGAATATTGAAAGGACTTATTAAACAGATGTCTTACTAATGACCAGTAATTATAATTTAAGTAATGAAATATGAGAGCAGTTGCAGGGGTAGATAGCAGATGCTTTGTGTGTTTGATACTTCCTGTTATACTTGTTTTTAAATTGTACAGGACATACTTATTGTATGTCACCTATTTATTTGATAATGATAATGTATGTGCATGTAAATCTAAAAACTTGAAATATGCACTTTTAAATGCGCTTAAAGGATCACTATAGTGCCAGGAAAACATACTATAGTGCCCTGAGGGTGCCCCCACCCTCAGGGTCCCCCTCCCGCCCGGCTCTGGAAGGGGGAAAGGGGTTAAAACTTACTTTTTTCCAGCGATGGGCTGGGAGCTCTCCTCCTCCGATCCTCCTCCATTCCTCCCCGTCGGCTGAATGCGCACGCGCGGCAAGAGCTGCGCGCACATTCAGCCGGTCGCATAGGAAAGCATTTACAATGCTTTCCTATGGACGCTTGCGTGCTCTCACTGTGAAAATCACAGTGAGAAGCACGCAAGCGCCTCTAGTGGCTGTCAATGAGACAGCCACTAGAGGCTTTGGGGGAAGGCTTAACCCATTCATAAACATAGCAGTTTCTCTGAAACTGCTATGTTTATAAAAGAATGGGTTAAGCCTAGCTGGACCTGGCACCCAGACCACTTCATTAAGCTGAAGTGGTCTGGGTGCCTCGAGTGGTCCTTTAAGATCAACTATTTTACTTATAACTGTTTGTCCTTTGGTGCATGAACGTAAGAGAGCTGTGTGAAGTGTGGCTGTTCATGCACTGGATACTAAACTATTCAAGCTCTTTTAATGCCCCATAACCCATTTAGCTCCCCAATGTTCACAGTCAAAACATTTTAGAACAGTTTGACATCTTATCATGCTGTAGTGATTATGGTGTTTATTAACCAATCTCTGTGCATTCTTACTTGGTAAGTTTCATGAGAGGCAGACATGGGCAACAGCAGCAGCATGGGCCTGTATTGATGTGCATAGGGGAATTTTCCATTCTCTTAATCAATGCATCTTTTCCTCCATATCCTTCAATAATGACCATTATTGTGAAATAGAAACAGGTTGCAAAATACCTAGGAATTGGCAAACATTACTAATAATGAGCACATTTTAATTACTGTTTTATGAAGAAAAAGGGTATATTAAGGGACGTATTGAAAGGTTATCATGCATAATCTTTGCTAATGAAAAGTGCATAGAGAAACTTGCAGGGTTATTCAATAAAATGTGAATTGTTAAGAATCCAAAGTGAATTCATGGTGCGTATGTCAAAACAGCCAAACTGAAACATAACCAAATATATCCAATTTGCTTATCACTATTTTGTGAATAACCTTGTATGATTCTGTCAGGATCTTATCCTGACAACTCAAATCATGTTTCATTTCTTCTGTTTTATTTCCTACAATCCAAATCTGCTATAAAAGGCCACACCCAACTATATGAGTTGCCTTTACAATGAGATAAGTTATTGTTTTGAACCTGACAAGTCTTCTGTTCCTGGCTCTTATTAAAGAAAACCTGCTCTACTCTTACTTACTTTGAACCATCCCGATCTACAATCCTGATTTAATCCAACCAACCTGCTTCATTTCATTCTGGACTTTGATACCTTTATTGCTTTGTTTGAACCTACGGTTCTCCTACCTAAAACAACACAACTTTCCTGGATATTATAGACTTTCCTATTGTTTGTAAGTATCCTGAAATACCCTAATTATAAAAATCTAAACCTATAGTTCTGATTTCAAACCAAAGAGGCTGATCATCTCAATTGCTTACTGACAGGGCCGGACTGGCCCACCGGGATACCGGGAATTTTCCCTGTGGGCCGCGGCATCTGGGGCTGGCAGAAAGCCCTAATGTTTTATTCAATTAATTTTTTCAATTATGCCCTGGCCCAGCATGCATGGAAGCTCTGCCCCCGCGTGAAAGCTCCTCCCCTGTTCAGAAGCCCCGCCTCCACACATAAGCTCTGCCTCCTGCACTCAAGCAGCGGACCTTGCTGCAGGAAGAGGCCTGAAAATGGCCTCCCAGAGAAAACTTAATTTTCCACAGCCTCCAGTGCCAGGTAGGGTTTAAATACTGTGTCTGTAGTGAGTGTGTGTGGTGTGTGTGTGTGTGTGTGTGTGTAGTGAGTGTGTGTGTAGTGAGTGTGTGTGTCAGTGATCTTGTGTGTAGTGAGCATGTGTGTTTCAATGATCTTGTGTGTCAGTGAGCTGAGGGAGGGGGGTGATGATGGTGTGAAGGAGGGGTGGGTATTGAGGGTGTAAGGCGGGGTATTGATGGAGTGGGGGAGGAGGGTTATTGATGGAGTGGGGAGGGGGGTATTAATGGTGAGGGGGTATTGATGGAGTGGGGGTGTTGATAGAGTGAGGGGTGATGATCATGTGAGTGAGGGGGCTATTAATGGTGTGAGGGGGGTATTGATGGAGTGGGGGTATTGATGGAGTGAGAGGGGTGATGATGATGTGAGGGAGGGGGGTAATAATTGTGTGAGGGAAGGTATTGATGGAGTGCGGGTATTGATGGAGTGAGGGCGGTATTGATGGAGTGGGGGTATTGATGGAATAAAGGGGTTATTGATGTAGTGGGGGGTAATGATGGTTTGAGGGAGAGGGGGTATTGGTGGTGTGAGGAGGGTGTTGATGGAGGGGGTATTGATGGACTGAGGGAGGTGATGATGATGTGAAGGGGGGTATTGATGGAGTGAGTGATAATGTTGGGAGGGAGGGGGGCGTGCTGGTAATGGAATACATATATTTTTTTTAGCTCCCTGGTGGTCCAGTGGCTATAATATCCGACCTGCAGCTCAGCGAGATCGCGAGATCCAGTCAGAGAGTTGCCATGGTAACCCGCGGCAATGCTCTGATTTGCCAGATCTCGCAAAACACATGGTCTGCAGCTCTGCACATTGCGGGACAGACTAGAGGGGCCTCGCACCAGGGGCGAACAGAGCAAATCGCCGGGACCCCTCCTGGTGTCGAGTCCTCGGTCATTGACCGAGGACCCAACACAGTCTGCCCTAAGGCGATTTAGGTTCTACCATCTCCCTTTTGTCTTTATTATTTCCTCTTCACTATAAATCCTGTTACTCATATTGTTTTTCTTGTTTAACCATGTCTAAACACTCAAATAAAGAACCTCAAGTCAACCCGGCATAAGTCTCTTGTCTGAGCGGATCAGAACCATGAAAGATTCACTTTTCTATCCTCTAAACACGAAATTGTAATTACAAAAATTAAGAAAATAATTTTGAATTTGGAAACATTCTTAAACTTAGTTATAATTATAATTTGGATATTTTTGCCTAAATTTTGCAATTCGGTTTTCAATTTACAACATTTTGGTGTTTGGTGAATAAAACTCCTGTGTGTCTAGTGTTTTTATTGAATTGTGTTGTTTTGTTGTCACTCACGTGCCAATACCAATATCTATAAACAAGGCAGAGCGTGGAATCCACAGACCAAAGCAGGCAAAGATGGCGACCACCTGCAAAAACAATTTTCACATCAAAATCATTCACCTGCCTTTTTAATTCTATGCATATCTTGTTCCATTTCCATGCAAACAATATACATGACCATATGTATGGAAACCTTACAATGCTTACTAACTGTCTTAAGGTGGTTCTGTCATTTTCAGCGTTCCATAACTATAGAATCAAAGTAGTTCATACTTTGTGTCATATACATGAGACAAAGTATGGACCACTTTGTGTCATGTAACTGGCAATATTTGGTGATAGACACAATTTATGCTTTCATTTCCCATCAGCTGTTAGTCTCACTGGTGCATAGAACCAACAAATGTGAAATATATATGGAAAATACTGTGGTCTTACAGAATCTGGCATATATCTTGTTTTGTACTCTCATACACACACAAGAGTACAGTAGTGACAATGACTTCTGGCCGAAGAAGTATGGTTGAGGAAACAATAAGGTATTAAGATGAGATAACTTAAAGGGACACTATACGCACCCAGACCACTTCAGCTCATTGAAGTGACCTAGGTGCAGTGTCCCTATTGCACTTAGTGCTGCAATGTAAAACATTGCAGTTCCAGAGAATGCAATGTTTACATTGTAGCTCTAAGTCTGCCCTCAGTGGATGTCTCCCAGACAGCCACTGGAGTCACTTCCTGGATCAAAACAGGCCTTTGGTCCGGTAACTGATGCTGGGGAGGTCTAATGCGCGCATGGCATTTGCTCATCAAGGGACGTCGGAGGAGTTGGAGCCACGTCTCAGCAACAACTGGGGGCACGAGAGACAGGCGAACAGAGGGAGATCTAGTGCCAGGAATACTGTATTCCAGGTATTTATAGTATCCCTTTAAGGAATGTATACAACCCTAACTGCTCCGTGACCTCCACACAATCAGATATATCACCAAACAGCTGCATCACCTCCACACAACGGATATATGATCTGGAATCTTTGCAAAAAAAAAAATCAAAGACCCTACAAGTGACAGTGCTGCTTTAAAGAATCATACTACACCATAATAGGAATATTTCCTCAAACAATTTAAAAAGATTATTAACATGAAATGGTACACCACACATGAATTCTAAAATAAATGAATTCTGTCTTATTTTATGGATAAACTGGTAGATTGCACAGCTTCTAAAAAAAATTGCTGGCATATCTGTGCCGATATAATATTTACATGCACTTTATGATTTTACATCTCTGGCATTAAATTTAGAAATTAGGATATGTATATTAAAAAGACCGCAATGTAACTATTTTTAAGGTAATGTGAAAGTTAATTTCCACTTGCGTATTGCTGCAATGAATCAGTGTTTGTTGTAGTGTGTGAATACTCATTTAGTTATATGGTGATTAGCAAATATTTGCAGTCGACCATGAAATAGACCCTTTACCCAACATAAGGACTCATTGTTTTGTTGGATAAAAAAGTGGGAATCTGAACTCATTTTAGAAATGTCTCAGTTAAAACTGCAAGTTCTAAATGTTAAATATTTTGATAGGTACTTTATAATGGCAATTCACTCCAAAAACTGAGGCATCAGTAAAGCAATTTTTATTATCCCTCGCAGTATTAGACAAAGTGTAGTACTGCATGTAGTATCCTTTGTTTCATAGATTATGGTTGTATTGGAGTATACACTAGATGGACACTAGAGAAGCTGGATCTCCAATCAGGGCGAAACAACTACAATAAAAGGCATTTGAAAACATTATAACCAAAATTATCACTACCACGTTTTAGAATACTTTTTTTTGCAAAGAGTTAATAAAAATACCTTCCAAAGATCACAATGTCACACACCAATGGGGTTATTCACTCAGCCCTGGCTGAGTCTTGCAGTATGGCTACCTCTCCAGGTGCACTTGAAGAATCTAATAGGGCACTATTTTTTTTCCACACTGAGATTGACAGCATGGCAGGCTGTGAGTGTATGTGCAGGGTAGCAGGACAAGCTCTCTTGCTATGTGCTGAAGCAATCATTGTAAAGCACACTTAAGAAAACATCTTGCAGGCAACCAGAAAAATGGTGGGAAATTGGCACCAATGTGCTCATTGGCTTTGTGGTTACCAGCTGAACTGCTAAAATGGTCAAAGTTCTGTAAGATGTCTCCTTTGTAGGTGTGTGCTGCTCTGCATACATCCTACAGCTTGTAGTGAAGGCAAATCATACTTAAGCGTTGCAGGAGGCTAGCTTATATTTCCACCGTAATGTGAGGGCTAGCCAACTCTTGAGGCAGAAGCAAGAAGAAACAAGGCTTCCCCTGTGTTATCCATGACAGGATGTCACAACACAATGTAAGTTCAATTGGACATACTGGAAAGAATTTTGGATCAGTAGGTGGCAATCCATATTCTTCCACCAGTACTTTGGTGTTGACCCCTCACTGGGGCATGATGATTGGAAAATAGTCATCCCACCTAGTGTCAGTATTTTTTTTTTTTTATTTAGGGACATGACACAAACTTTGCGTGACAGTAATACCAGTTTTTTTTAAGAAACACCATCTGTGACAAATGGCAGAATTTTAACGTAACCCGATAAACATTGTCTTACCGTGGGAGCCCCACTGTTCCATAAGAGGGTTTGCCTTTTGACTGGACATCGCACTTTCTTCTTCAAGTAGAAAGCATCTTCCAAATAAATAATAATTGATAATATGGCGAGGACTGTGAGAATCCCCAAAATGCTGAGTTGCAATGTGTCCAGCACTAAAACAAAAACGCATCACTTAGCATTCATGATGGTGAAAGGTACAGTATGATTCTAGTCAAGTATCAGGCAACATGATCTCCAATGACTGCCGCAGCTTCATTGTGGTATCTGACTGTGCCTGGTGTTATTGGTGTCATGTTAGAAGAAAACAATGATATACGATTATTCAGTAAAGCGAGATCTTTTCTGGAATTCAAGGTGAATTTCAAATTAAAAGTCAATGTAGCTGACTGAGACTTTTTTTTCAGTTTGTTTAGTTTGGCCTTAAATTTAAAATTCACTTTGAATTCACTCTGAATTGTTGTCAATTCTCATTTTACTGAATAACCAGCAAGAGGAACTGATGGAAATTCAAAGTAAATTCAAAGGGATTTTCACATTAGATGCCAAATTAGCTGAACTGGAAACAGCTGACTTGGAGAATTTTTTTTTGTTCAGCTATTTTGGCCTTAAATTCACCTTGAATTATTGGCAATTTTCAGTTTTGTGAATAACCATGTCAACATGCATTAAAAATATGCACATAGACTTCACTTGTGAATGCATTTTTTTTAATTATTTTTGTTAGTGTTTTTTTTAACTTTTATCTCAGTACAATCCCCATACAAACATTGATATCTCTTACTATAAAACAAAAACAGCAGGACCTGATATGATTTGCGGGAGACAACCATTTTCTGCTCAATATACATTAAGACCACCACAGTTTATTTAATTCTGTTTTTCCTCCAGTTTTTTTTCTATATTTCATCTACACCATCTTATATTAACTTTTTGTCTTTGAATTTATAGTATTCCTTGCAGTACTTTGCACGGCAGCATTCTATAATGAAAGTTAGTTAAATGGTACAGTAATTAATCACCATGTATATCCTTACACTGTATCACTATCTCATATGTTGGTCACAATACTGCACCGCAAATTAAGATATAGCCAAAAGCAAGTATATACACATAGAATACAGTATAACCTTGGGTTGTTTTGTTAAGTTAAATGATGTACCTACAATATGGAAGCTTTGAGGAAGATGGAGCTATGGATACACAGGCCCTTGGAATGCTGAAATTTTTGATCAGGAGCTGAAGAAAACCTGGTGGAAACCTGGGGAAAAAAATGTAAAGTCAAGATATCACTTTCATGTGAAGCACTAGCTCTTTCTTGATTATCTGCTTTGGACTTTAGTTAAAAACATTCCCACCAGTTTGCTTGTCAGTCTTCAGGTGTAGTTAACCTGGTCCCTACCGCCCACTAGTGGACGGTTTGGAATTTCAGGTGGGAGGTGGAGGGTTCTGCAAAAAACGCCCAGTGGGCCTCAATGGCCATGGACCAAGCCAGTGAGGGAGATCCTTTCATTCCCTATACTTCTATGACCTATATCCTTTCTGCATACTCACTATTCATAAATCATATTTTTAATGATATACAAATATTGGTTAAACCAATGTTATACATAGGCTCTGATTATACTTCTCATTAGAGTGACTCTTACCACACAGATAAAAGTTAATACTAAGATATACAATTACTGGAATCCGTCAGCAATGGATTGCATGATGTCTGAGAGATTCCCATTTAACTTTATTTAGGTCTTACGTACAATCAAGCAGGGCTATTTTACCCAATGGAAAACTTTGGTGTACTATAACGAGGTCTAGATTAAAGGGACACTATAATCACCAGAACAACTATTCATTACCTTCAGGCTTTTTGCTGTAAACACTGTCTTTTCAGAGAAAATGCAGTGTTTACATTACAGCCTAGTGATTACTTCACTGGCCACTCCACAGATGGCTGTTAGAGATTCTTCCTGTGTCATGGCTGCCTAAAATGCATCCAGACATTCAGTGTCTCCACCCTCTGCACGCAGACACTGAACTTTCCTTATAGAGATACATTGATTCAACTCATCTCTATGAAGAGATGCTGATTGGGCAGGTCTGTGTTTGAATCATGCTGGCTCTGCCCTTGATCTGCGTCCTTGTCAGTCTCAGCCAATCCTATGGAGTAGCATTGTGATTGGATCAGGCCACCACTTCTGATGATGTCAGCAGACAGCTTTTTTCCAAGGCACGCAGCATGCAGATCTACATCTTCAGGCTTGAATGCAGTAAGATTTTGCTATATTTATGGAGGCATGAGGGGCCCAGGGGCGGCTAAATGGTGGTTTTAACACTATAGGGTCAAGAATACATGTTTGTGTTCCTGATCCTATAGCGATCCTTTAAGGTTGTTCAAAATAGGTTGAAAAGAGCTGCAAGTTGAAAGGTTGAAACAAGTTATTAGGTGGGGTAAGAAGAATATGATGATTAAAGAGGAGTAGGTGGGGACATTAAATATCCTAAATTTAGGTCTCTTTCCAGTGTTACAGTATCACTGCTGATGCATGTTCATTAGAAGTATAACATTTATTAATGCAAATTTGAAAATTCTAATTACATTGTTTCAAAACGTTCTGTTGTTGCCCTTTCAACACTACAGGTGAATCTGTCATAAAAAATAGACAATGTGTTGCCCGAATTAACACACACAAGCAAACATAGAAAACGTCCACTGTTGGGTGAACCAATACGGCTATGTCTGAAAGCTAAAACCATAGGACAACTACTATTATGATGAGAAATTTAAAACCGAAACATTGAAGAATGCCACCCAGTGTTTATACAATATCAGAATAGTTCATCTTGCTGATTTTAAAATGACCCATCTGACACAAACACATTGTCTTGGTGTGGGGTTGGAAGGTAACCGATATATTGGGGATTACTGCCTATTAATGAAACAATCAATTCAAGACTTATTGGGTCTCGGAATCATTGCTAAACAATTATGAAGCTTTTGTATTAAGATAATGTTATGCGAAAATGAATGCACTCCACTAGGTGGCATAATTTCCCACTAAGAAAAAATAATAATTTCTAAATATATATTATATAAACACATCTAAACACTCTTCGACTCCATTACAGTGTTGCTGTTCTAGCCTGAACTTTGCCATTTGCATTCGTATTCACTACAATTCAGAGTTTAGTAAATAACCTTAAAACTGTCATCCAGCTATTGAAGTGCCAATGGTTCTAACGGTCTTAAAACCAGATAAAACTAAGAACAATTAAGAGAACATCTTCAATGTCTCCGTGGTGTCTTTCTGTCTCGTTAGGTCTTATGCTTTTCTAATTTTTTCTGTAACTTGAAGGTGTGAATATACACATCCATAACTTTTTTAAAGGGACACTATAGATCTCACCTGAACAACTACAGCTTAATGTAGTTGTTCAGGTGAGATCTATAGCTCCCTGCAGGAAATCTAATGTAAACACTGTATTTTCAGAGAAAATACAGTGTTTACATTGATTGATAGGAATACCTCCAGTGGCCGTCACTCAGACGGCCACCAGAGGGACGTCCTATCATGTAGGGCCCTAAAAAGGCCATGTACACGTCAGACATATTAAAATACATCTGACGTGTGCAGGAGAGAGAAGTCACTGTGTGTGCGCCTTCTCTCTCCTGCCTGTCAGCAGAGGAGAGGGGGCGGGCAAAGACCGCGAGCTGAGTTGTCAGTCAACTCAGCTCGCGGCTGCGCACACTGCGCGCATGCGCGGTAATGCGCTCAGGACTTCATAGGGCGGCATGAATGCCGCCCTATGAAGTATGTGCGCATGTGCGGCGAAGCTTCCAAAATGGAAGCGTCTGATTGCTTCCTGCTCGCGCCCACCTATTTAATAATTTTGATGAAATAGGGGGCATGGCTTCACTGGGCTCCTGGCGCTGCAACCAGGTGAGTTAAAACTGCTGTCTGGAGAGTCCCTTTAAATTATTATATCTGATTGCAATAGATATAAATATAACATGCATATGGGCGTCTGAAGCAACCTGCCTGGATCGAGTTCTAAGCCTTGAATACAGCACACATGGAGAAGACCTCCCACGGCACACTCAATGACATGGGTCAGTTGTGCAGTTCAGAGACATTACCCAACTGATTTAGTAACAGTTACTACATTAGTACAAACGAGAGACAAATTTTTCGCAATGCTGTTTCCTCTGTTCAGTCCACACACAAAAGTGTTATTCATTAAAGTGTGACGTAAATTCAAAGCAAATTTTGAATTTTCAACCTGTCAAATTTACACTCAGCTCTCAGATTCATAATGGTGACCCATGTTGATAATGCTAAGGTTTTGGTAATTTTACCTCCAATGGTGGCACATTTCTCAAATTTTTTATCTATTATGACATGATAAATGTTGATATAGCATTAAAGGACCACTATAGTGCCAGGAAAACATACTCGTTTTCCTGGCACTATAGTGCCCTGAGGGTGCCGGGCTCTGGGGAGAGGAAGGGGTTAAACACTCACCTTTCTCCAGCACCGGAGAGGGAGCTCTCCTCCTTCTCTCCACCTCCTCTCCTCCTCGGCTGAATGCGCATGCGCGGCAGGAGCTGCATGCGCATTCAGCCAGTCTCATAGGAAAGAATTCATAATGCTTTCCTATGGACGCTTGCGTCTTCTCACTGTGATTTTCACAGCGAGAAGTACGCAAGCGCCTCTATCGGCTGTCAAGAGACAGCCACTAGAGGCTGGATTAACCTATTTATAAACATAGCAGTTTCTCTTAAACTGCTATGTTTATAAAAAAAAAAAAAAAGGGTTAACCCTAGCTGGACCTGGCACCCAGACCACTTCATTAAGCTGAAGTGGTCTGGGTGCCTACAGTGGTCCTTTAAGTAGTGTGTTGTAATGGGTATATATTTTGCACATAAAGACAAGAACTAAGCATAATTTGTTACAGAATTCATCTTTTTTTTATAAGTCTGATACAATACTGGAAACACTTAATGACACAAATGCTGTTGCAAATAGTGACTGAGACTTGTGGTTACTGAAGACTAGAGAGAGAATGTGGCATTTCTGTGTCATCCTCTCAACACACTACAGTGCATAAAGTAATTATTTAAATGTGATATAATAACTATATTAGCGGGATGAGATTTGTTTCTTTACGGGAATCAGAGTGGCAAAGTTTTTCCTCTACTGTGAGATTCGCGAATCACGCAGCTGGTGGAGGAAGGTAGAACAGGCCCTTGTTAGACATGCTGGTAGCCTCAATTTACTGCCTCAACTTACTGCCTGGTTTATCTTTGGCTGTGACTTAATATGTGACAGCAGCACAATTTATTAGGATTAGCATTTATCCTCACACGTAATTTACAGATGATAATTAGTGGAAATGACATCATCAAGATATGTAAAGATAGATAAAGGTCTAGCTGACTGCCTCAATGAATATTTCTGTTCTGTATTTACAGATGAAAATGAAGGAAAGGGACCTCAGTTGACAAAATGGATAAATGAGTCATTTATTACACGTGAGTTTACAGAGGAAGAGGTTCTATTTCAACTGTCAAAAGTAAAGACAAATAAGTCAATGGGACCTGATGGAATACACCCAAAGCTATTAAAAGAGCTTAGTGGTGTACTAGCAAAACCATTAACAGATTTATTTAACCAATCATTGTTAACAGGAGTAGTCCCAGAAGATTGGAAGTTAGCTAATGTTGTGCCCATTTACAAGAAAGGTAATAGGGAGGAGTCGGGCAACTATAGGCCAGTAAGCCTTACTTCAGTAGTGGGGAAAGTGATGGAAACCATGTTAAAGGATAGGATTGATGAACATCTAAAAACACATGGATTTCAAGATCAGAGACAACATGGGTTTACTTCAGGGAGATCATGCCAAACTAATCTTATTGATTTTTTTGATTGGGTAACTAAAATTATAGATCAGGGTGGTGCAGTAGACATTGCTTACCTAGATTTCAGTAAGGCTTTTGACACTGTTGCACATAGAAGGCTTATCAATAAACTGCAATCTTTAAGTTTGGATTCCAATATTGGTGAATGGGTGAGGCAGTGGCTGAGTGACAGGCAACAGAGGGTTGCAGTTAATGGAATATATTCGAAGCTTGGACTTGTCACCAGTGGGGTACCTCAGGGATCTGTACTTGGACCCATTCTCTTTAATATTTTTATTAGTGATATTGCAGAAGGTCTTGATGGTAAGGTATGTCTTTTTGCTGATGATACAAAGATATGTAACAGGGTTGATGTTCCAGGAGAATATTTGATAGAGTCCTAACCTCAACATATGAGTAAAGGGATTTAGGGGTGATTATTTCTGATGACTTAAAGGTAGGCATACAATGTAATAGAGCAGCAGGAAATGCTAGCAGAATGCTTGGTTGTATAGGGAGAGGTATTAGCAGTAGAAAGAGGGAAATGCTCATGCCAGAACCCTGGTGAGACCTCACTTGGAGTATTGTACACAGTACTGGAGACCGTATCTTCAGAAGGATATTGATACCTTAGAGAGGGTTCAGAGAAGGGCTACTAAACTAGTTCATGGATTGCGGGATAAAAACTTACCAGGAAAGGTTAAAGGATCTTAACATGTATAGCTTGGAGGAAAGACGAGACAGGGGGGATATGATAGAAACATTTAAATATATAAAGGGAATCAACACAGTAAAGGAGGAGACTATATTTAAAAGAAGAAAAACTACCACAACAAGAGGACATAGTCTTAAATTAGAGGGACAAAGGTTTAAAAATAATATCAGGAAGTATTACTTTACTGAGAGGGTAGTGGATGCATGGAATAGCCTTCCAGCTGAAGTGGTAGAGGTTAATACAGTAAAGGAGTTTAAGCATGCGTGGGATAGGCATAAGGCTATCCTAACTATAAGATAAGACTAGGGAGTAATGAAAGTATTTAGAAAATTGGGCAGACTAGATGGGCCGAATGGTTCTTATCTGCCGTCACATTCTATGTTTCTATGTTTCTATGTTTCTATGTGTGTATTTCTCATTAAACTGTCGGGTATTTAGAAAGTGCTCTTTCTTTATATATTAAAAAAAAATTGTTTTTAGAGGAAAAAATATATATATTTCACAATTACTTTATAGAATATTCTCATTTAAATAAATAATAAGTTAAATCCTTTTTGGAAACACAATTTAAACTAATTCTACAAAATCTACAGACCTGTACCATGTCTGGAAGGGTATGTCTGTCAGTCTGACAAAGTCACCTTTTGGAACCATAGTGACTAATACAGCAAATTCATATTTCCAATATTATATCTGATACAAGGGCAAGTTTACAAGTTGACCACATTCTTCATAATAGAGATAATACAGAGTAACATAGTAAAAACAAGCAATAATAGATTATGATGCCAGACAACAACCAATTCTGCCCACAATATAATCACAGACTGGTCACGATTGGTGTGACGAATATAAGACATCAGTCCAAACGTTAATGCATGTTACTTTTCCAGAGAAGGGCTATGCATCCCATGTTGTTCTTCTCTGAGTCGACTTATTCTATGTGGTTTATATGTTTATTTTTGTCAAATAATTTTCACTATATTTCACTATTATTTTCACTATATGGTAAATACTTATCTCTAATCACATCAATCCATTTCTGTTTTGTGCAGTAGTCAAAACTGGAAGTCCAGCCCTATAGAAAGTTCAGTCTTACATCACATTGTGATAAAATATATGTATAATGTTTCAATTAAAGTAGCAGACCAACGTTGTTCATTTATCAAGAGTTTTGTAAAAATGTTTGTTCTATCCATACAATAAAGACATATTACACTACCTTGGGTCTGGTAGAAGTTCATCTGTGGACGCCATGTTCTCCTGATTCCTGCTGTACTCTGTGCTGTCCACAGCTCTAGTAATCTTTGCCCTTGTGCACTGATGAACTTTGTCAAGTCCAAGTGCCTAAACTTCAGCATCAACTATTTGCCTGGTAATGTGCACAGGACCTTGAGTGCATTGATCCTCATAAATAAACACATTTAATATCTGCAGAATTTCTCTTTGAAGTATATACAGAAAGGGGGACTTTTCTGGGAGTGATTTTGGGAAGCTAATTACATCAAAGTTGATATTTTTTGTATAAATAGTTTTTATTAAGATACGCTTGCAGAATTTTCTTTAAATACATACATACATATATACATACATACATATATATATATATATATATATATACACACACACACACTGCTCAAAAAAAGGGAACACAAAAATAACACATCCTAGATCTGAATGAATTAAATATTCTTCTGAAATACCTTGTTCTTTACATAGCTGAATGTGCTGACAACAAAATCACACAAAAATTTAAAAATGGAAAACAAATTTTTCAACCCATGGAGGTCTGGGTTTGGAGTCACACTCAAAATTATAGTGGAAAAACACCATCAAAACACTGGATTTCACCTGATTTTAACTACAGAGTGTGGAACAGATGTGGGGTATTTTATATACACTCCCTATTAGAAAAGAGCGAACTGGCCACATTTGACCAACTGAAAACCAAATACATATTGCCGAACACAGCATACTACTCCTATCTTCAGCTACACTCCTGGTGGAAAATCCATGTCACACGTCCCATATCGCCTACCACCACTATCTTAACGCCCTTTGAAAAAAGCATAATAGCAGATACGCCAGTGGTAAAGCCCATCTCCACCATATACAAACTATTACAGCCCCAGCAAGGGATTAAATCCCTTGCATGTGTACGCTCCTGGGAAAAAGACTTAGACCAAACACTATCAGAGCAGACCTGGCTGGCCGCAGCGAATGCGACCAGAGGCCTGACATTCTGTGCCTCGCACTTAGAGACAACACGTAAACTCTTCTACCGTTGGTACATGGTCCTAACACGCCTAGCCACCATGGACCCACAGAAATCTAGCGTTTGTTGGCGTTGCAAACAGGAAACAGGTACCTTTTTACACACCTGGTGGAAATGCACAAAACTACAGCCATACTGGAAAGAGGTTATCTTATTAATACACCAACACACCTCAATTACGATACCAAACTCCCCAAAGTCCTTGCTACTATTTATATTGGGTACCGACTACCCGAAACAGATTAAATACCTTATACTCCACATACTGGTAGCTGCCCAAAGTCTTATTGCAAAAAACTGGTTATCGACCACTAACGCAACAATGCGAGAATTGATCAGACACATATCCCAAATTGGGAAATTCGAATCTAGCATATCCCGCATACCACCTAATAAAAGTTGGAGACATGAGGTATGGGAAAACTGGGAACTGAAGCACCCGACCTGAAGTAAGGTCAACATGAAGTAGCCAATCACACGCACAGTAGCAATTCTGAGAGTAGACACGAACACTAATAAACATACACAAAAAGCCACAACTGCCAATGCACATCCCACACAGGTAGAAATGAGCATTTATTATGACTGTGAATTGTTAAACGACGAAATGATGTAGGATGCATGTTCCATTGTCCATCACCCTCCCCCTTCTTCCTTTCTGTACCCCTCTATTGCATTTTTATGACAAAATAAAAATTGTCAAATTGAAAAAAAAAAAACACTGGGTTTCGGACCGAAGTGGCTAGACTGGCTGGGAGCAATCTATTCCACGCCAACAGCGAGATTGCGTATAAATGGCCAATTATCCCGTAAAAATTCCTGTAATCCCTGTAAAAATAAGTAACGGTATGAGACAGGGCTGCCCACTGTCCCCTCTGCTCTTTATACTGGTACTGGAGCCATTCCTACAGGGCATTAGAGACAACCACCAAATACAAGGGTTCAATATAAACAAAACAGAATATAAAAGCTCAGCCTTTGCAGACGATATCATGTTTGCGATAGGAAATCCAGATAAATCTCTCCCACATATTCTAGAAGAAATGTCCATATATAGCAATTAGCAAAGTCTCTAACTTTCAGGCAAATCTAACCAAATGTGAGATTCTGCCACTATTTACAGATCCAGAACTGATAAAAAGCATTAAAAATACATTCGATTTTAGCTGGCCCGGCTCCTCTATAAAATATCTAAGAATACACCTACCCCAGGAGCTGAACCGTATATATGACCTAAACTTCCCTCGATTAGTACACGATATAACTAAAGACCTAAACAAATGGAACAAACCAGGATTTAGCTGGTCCTGTAGATTGAATATAATCAAAATGAATGTGCTCCCACGCCTTCTATACTCACTCCAAACACTACCTATAGGGATCCCGAAAATATTCTTTGCAGACATTCGCAAAATCATATCTACCTTCATATGGTCTCAAAAACACCCTAGGCTAGCCCACGCACTTCTGACACAGGCGAGGGATCGGACTCCCGGATCTAGACAGATACCATAAGGCCATACATCTCACCAGAATCTACGAATGGACGAAAACACTCTCATCACAACAATGGAGAGCGATAGAGAGCACATTCTTCAAAGCACCGATCCAGACAATACCATGGCATAAACAGGTATATCATCTACTAAAACACAGACAACAATAGAAGCCTCACTGAATGTGTGGCTGGAGTGTCGCAACCACCCAGACATCTCACACTTCCCTTCCCCACTTTACCCGGACACGCATAACCTCCTATTTGAGCCGGGAATTAGAGGTAGAATGCTACACATGACAGATACGCTATCCCACACACAACTAAAGGATGTGATACAAGGGGACAAACTATCAACATTGCCAGAACTCAGTGCGTCTCATTGCCACACAGGGACATAATACATTCAATACAGCAGACCAACACATTTTATCCGGTCCATGCCATTACTACCTGCGGGAGCAAGACAATTCACGAGAGTTGAGAAGCTATGCTCATCTCACCCACTCAAAAATAAATTACTCTCAACAATGTACAAAGTTTTAAACCTGACAGAGTCACAGAGTCTTCCCGCATACACAAAAAAGTGGGCAGACGAACTACAGATAAGAATCACGCCACTACAGTGGAGACAAATCTTTAGAAGAACGCATAAAGTTTCCACCTGCACTGCCACACAAGAAGCCAACTATAAAAGACTGTCACGCTGGCACTATACACCAGCTAAAATACACACACTCTTCCCAAACTCACAACATACTTGCTGGAGATGCCACCAACCCGACGCACATCCCTCCCACATCTGGTGGGATTGTCCACAAATACGCACATTCTGGCAAAGAATACTCACAATGACTAAAATAATCAGGGGAGTCACATTCCCACAATCCCCAGAGTATGTGCTCTTTCTGCTACCTATCCCAGATATAAACAAACATACAACAGCACTACTTGCTCACCTCCTAACAGCCACAAACCAACTGATCCCTAAATACTGGAAACAGGCAAACCCCCCGACCTTAAGGGAATGGATCAACAGAGTGGAACAGGTGAAGAAAATAGAGGAACTAAAAATATGCCATTTCCAAAAACTACCCAAAGTTTCTAAATGTATGGGGCCAATGGAACAACTTCATGAGGGGAGAAAACGTCAAGACAGCGTAGGGAGACTTCACACTTAGACTAAGGAGGTGGGGGACCAGGTGTAAGCCCACAGACTGAATGAGAAACAAAAACCAAATATATGTATTACAATTTCCATGACACCACCCCCTTTTCCCACTCCCACTACACCTTCCCTCACTAAAGATTCACACCGTGGATGTCAGACTCTACCACAATCTTAAAAGGTATAAAATTAAGTTATCACAAGCTCCAATCAGGGACTGAAAATGTATAGGTGATTTCAATATATTTGTATTCTGATAGTGTGCAAAGTTGTAATGAAAAAACAACATTATGCCAAAGACCACTAGTTAACATTTGTGTGCTATAAATACTAAAGCAAAATTTGACTGCAATCTTTTTGGGGGAAATATTGTTAACAAACTGTGAAATATTTACTTTATACAAAACAAATAAAAACACATTTAAAAAAATTTCAAATAAAAAATAAAGTGGAAAAACACACTACAGGCT